TTGTGTCGGGTGAACAACTTCGAGAAGCGGCCATGACGCACTGACTACGCAGCTACGCAAAAGCCGATCACGTGACTACCGTCATGAAGATGTTGATAAGTACGTTCGAAACGTATTGAGTGGCAAAATGCGCAAGATAACTTTCACGACGACGTTCTCAGCGGGACATCGGTCGCCGAGTTTCGATATGATATTAACCCTGTATGGATTGAAGTACCGACGTCGAGTAATGCGTGCAGTAATAGCGAAGTGAAGGGAAGTTAATATCGTCATATAAAATTTCACGTGGAAAATGTTTTATTCGCCCATCAGTATTTGTTCAAATATCAACCAAAATAAGTACTTGCCTGCTCTGCAGATCAAAATATCTGATTGTACGAATGTTAGGCGAAGCAAGTGGATGGATCAATATCTGAGAGAACTAATATTGCAGAAAGAGCAACTCTTATTCCAACAAGATCATATGCGTCGCCAGAACTAGATACCCTACCGCAAAACGCCAGTTCTAATAATAGATGCGTCGTATGCAGCAAAATTCACATTATTGCCAAAAAACCAATCCGCTGCTAAAGACAAAGCGTTGCTGAAACGATGCGAGACAGTATAAAAGTACAAATACTGTAATGAGTACCTATGTATAGGTAACGAAACCAACAACCATGGGTATACCTGGCACAACAAAGTGCAATATTGGATTTAGAATGTGTCTTTTATCTGCATAATATTTTCATGTTCTTCATTGTTCCGGGAACAACAAAGTGCAATATTCAATTTAAATTTTTTAGCAAGCAGTCTTTTATGTACATACATTTTTCATGATCTTTATTGTTCCGTTATTTGCGGAATTTATTTAAATACTCATTGTGGTTCTTGAGATACGAGAGCATAAAGTTGATTCCTTCCGACACGAAAAACAAGCCGGTAAACCGGCTTGCCGGGGCACAGAGCGTACTCAAACAAGCCGGTAAACCGGCTTGCCGGGTTCAAGCGGTTAAAGATTTCAGACCCCCCCCCCCTTCAAAATCTTCAGCTATGCCCTTAGGGCCTCACCCTAAATATTAAATGAATCGCCAAAAGAATTTCAGTTTAAAAGATGCATATTTTGCAGGTCGCGGGGCTGGGAATCCATCGGTGCTCCAGTTGATTGAAAAGCAGCAAAGAAAAAGAAATATGTAGCAATGTCCACGTGATAGAACCTAAATTGCCTTTTTACTCCAGCTAAGAACCACTTAAACAACATCAATACCACTATTAATATCAATTGATATTCAGTGTTTATTCACATTAGTAATTAAAATAATAATTTGTATAAATTGTATTCCTATGGATTATTGAGAAAAAAACTTGGGTACTCCAGAAATACGTGTACCAAGATGACGGACAACGGAACATAGTATGTGTACCAGGTTAGGCCATACTTTTAGGTACAAATACTACGAAACTCACTTGGTTAGTCCCTGAACTCGTAATAGAACTAAGATAAGGACATTTTGGCCTAACCCTAACGTGGTACACATACTACGTTCCGGTGTCCTCCTTTCTTGGTACGCATACTTCAGGAGTACGGAAACTTGACTGTAATCACATACATCTCAATCTTAGTTCTAGCTGCTGTGTCTCTTCAATTGGTTTCGTATTCCATGAGTCCTATTGTCCATCTTGTTGTTATTATTTTAGCTGCAGTACTTTGCGTATACATTTGCTCATATTTTTTGAATACTTTCTCAAGTAGTGTTGTTACATCTTGGCATTCAGTTACATTGTTTTAATAGGTATTCGCTCATGAATGATTTGAAAATATTTTCCTTTTATATCAAGTGTCAAGTGTTCAATGATGTGATGATGGAAATAAATTTCAGCTGCTTGCATGTGTTGAGATAGCCTTTGTATAATCATTGACTCTTAAAAAAGTTATCTATAGATTGGTTTGATTAATTTCTTGAGCAGAGCCTTGTGTTTCTGAGTTGCATTATTAACAGAAATTGCTGCTCTACCTATGCATTCTAGATTGTTGTCACATTCACAAAAGCTGCAGTGCGCAAATCACTGGCCCTTCGTTTCGTTCGACGCCGTTGAATTCTTTCTCATAGACATCACAGCAAATTTTTTACGTTTACTCATTTTATCTCTTATGAAGTTCCAGATCTAAACTAAATTCAAAGTTTAATTTACTGGTATATTCATTTATAAGGGTAAAAATAAGGACACACGTCAAAATAAGGATGTTTCTTAGAAATAAGGACAAAAACCTTTCCTAAAACAAAGACCTTCAAAATAAGGACAAATTCTAAAAATAAGGACGTTGTGGCAGCCCTTGATTATAGGTCAAGTGGAGAAAAAACTTCTGTGAAAGCTACAATAGTTGAGATGGAGTGAGACCAAAATGCTGTGCTACTGAGCGTTTTTTATTTTATTTAAAGTGCAAAGTATTCATTTTCGTCACCACTTTACCTGCATCTGACTGACATTTTTTGCAATGCATGGCATTTTTGATGCCATGCTTTCTTTCGACAGGGAAGTTGTCACATCATCCTGGTGATTTGCAAGACAGACTGTGTCTCCATTTTCACAATTATTTGTTCATTTTTATCGAATTTCTTCGTCCTTCGGCAAATATTTCGATCAGTCATCAATGAATAGGGCTAGTTTTCGAGCTGTGATGCAGGAGCGTCGTCGTCCTTAAGCATTTAGTCTGAACAAAACCAACCGTGACGTTCGCCACTTGGGGGTGCAACATCGCCTTTTTTTGTTTATTATCCGGCGAGCGGAGTTGGACATCTAGTAGTAGTATATATTTACGTCTGAACCGATCGTGAATTGCGCGAGAATTCACCTCAACGCTCGCTAGCAGACAAAAGCACTAAATTTAAAAAATCGTCTTCGCGTTGTGGTGTTTTGTTTTCTTTGCGTTTCAATCGTTCATTTCGAATCCCTATTTTGCAAAACAAGGTACCGACACCGTTCCCTAAATTTAGAAACGTCCAATCAGATGAGGTATTTAAAATAAATATCTCAGATTTTAAACTTTGTATGATTGCCGTTTCATGCATGAACCAAACATAAATTTGTTTAACGAATATTAAAAGTTGAAATAACTTTCGCATTAAACCATACATAGTATAACACGAACAAGCTATGACCAGTAAAGAAATGGCAGGACATAATTCTTTTAATGTAATTTCAAAATTAATTCCTCAGTGATCCCTTTCATTATTGACCAAGTAATGTTTCGGAAATATAAACATTTCACTCAGACATGCATGGCGGGTGGAGTGTAGAAATCATAACGTAAAATCGATCGTGAATTTCGATGTAACAACGCGCGCTGTCTCGTTCACGAATTGTTGTATCATCGGAAATGCTTACATTCGTTATATTTTGAGCATTTTTGCACTAATAAATAGGGCGTGACATTATCAAAATCGTCAAGAGAAGTAAAATTGAACTCGCAAATTCCGTAAATAAAATTTTGTAATACACGGTAACGATATTAGCTATAATGTTTCGAAAATGTAAACATTTCACTCGGGCATGCATGGCGGGTGGAGTGTAGAAATTGTGAACAGGAGTATAACGTAAAATCAATCGTGAATTTCGATGTAACAACGCGCACTGTCTCGTTTACGAATTGTTGTATCATCGGAAATGATCGCATTCGTTATATACTGAGCATTTTTGTACTGATAAATAGGGCGTGACATTATCAAAATCGTCAAGAGAAGTAAAAGTGAATTTGCAAATTCCGTAAATAAAATTGTGAATTACTCGGTAACGATATTAGATATAATGATCGCGGGGTTTCTTGAGAGAAAACGTCGGAACTTGGATAAGTTAGTTATAATTATCGCCTGGCCATCTATTGGGCACAAAAGTACAAAAGCGCAATTTTTTTCAGCAATAGGTCGCATATGTAAATTATGGTGACCGTACATTTGAACCCATGTACATTTGAACCCATGCGTATATCCACGGGTTCAATCTATATGCGGGTGCTATAACCCATGGGTTAGGGTTAGTATGGGTTTAACTATCCGTGAGACAAAAAAAAAATTCCATAGGTGCAAAAGCATACAGGTGCAATTGTCATGGGTTCAAAAGTACGTGGGTTCAAATGTAATGGAACCGTAAATTATTATTCAAGAAGCGCTGTTTATTAACGTCATCTCGTCGTATGGCCATGCAGAAATGCCTTTATTGTCGAATTATTTAGTCACTATTTTAAATCAACATTCGGGATTGACGCATAGACACCATAGAAAAGCATAGCAAAGTTAATTACCGTATTGTCTTAATAAATATCTGTATCCCGTTATCGATAATACAATTACCATTCGCTTAATATTGTGACGGTAAATTTACAAACGTTAATAAGTGATAGGAAAGCCAACGCAAATGATAAAAATTAGAATAATATTAATTTGGATTTGAAATCACTCCTCAATGGTTTTAACAGCTGTTGCCGACGTGAACGCACGGGTAAACGCGAAATATAAACTTCGATGTCCGCCGACCCGAAAGAATTACTACTTGCAAAAAACAGAAAGGACGGTAATATAGATTATATATGGCCGCAAAAA